ACCCCAAAGATCAGCACCTACGGTTGCGTTTCTCGATTTTACGCGTTCCTAAAAATCGACAGGATCCATTAAGTTATCGTCTCTTCTGATAGGTTCCGTCAGAGCTCTGGTTTTGGTGGAGTTGGGCCTGTTCCAGCCCAATTCCCTAACCTAACCTAACCTAACTTACGCTAGCTTATTATTTAACATTTATATTAATTACTCGACGAAATACACTGTATAAAATTATTCTACATGTATACGCTGATACATGGGTAAACTTGCAATATTCTTTTTCAAAATGTATATCTGCGATAGTCACTCGCAGACATACTAGCTGTAACTATCCCAATTTCAGGGAAAAGTAATTTTTTTAACCCAATGGCGCGATATGAATACAGGTATGTGCGTCACATTTCATAAGAGTGTCACTCTGACTCAGCCACGTACTCTGGATTCTTCTGTTTATCCTCCGATGGCTCAATTTTACCGTGGGACATCAAGTGCAAGGCATTCTGGGGTCACATTTTACGCTCAGCATGATTATTCCTAATCGCAAGCGCCATAAAGTCCCTTTTGCTTCTTGACGTTTTTTTTGTTCTTGTCGGATTCAGTAGGAAGGTACAAAGGCAATTGGACACCTAATATGTATATTTGTTGCATTATAATAACCGTTATGGGACATCAAGTGCAAGGCATTCTGGGGTCACATTTTACGCTCAGCATGATTATTCCTAATCACAAGCGCCATAAAGTCCCTTTTGCTGCTTGACGTTTTTTTGTTCTTGTCGGATTCAGTAGGAAGGTACAAAAACAATTGGACAACTAGTATGTATATTTCTTGCATTACAATAACCGTTATACATAACGTTATTACAATATACAAACATAAATCTTAATATCTCATTCATTAACATCCTCACAACACCATTACAATGTATTCAATAATCAAATTCTCCCCCGAACTCGTGATTGTTTTAATCGCGCTTTTATATCCCTCAGTTTCCCTCGTCGTCTCTCTATATACAAGACTTCTTTCGCCGAAATTATTATGTACACGGATAATAATTTACGTGGATTCTCACCTCGATCCTTATGACCCATAACATACCGCGATATATCGCGCTAGTCGCCGATACTAACGTCGCGTACAGCTCTAGAATTTCTGGCAAGAAAATTAGAAAATCTCGAGGGAAGCGAAATCGTAGTAGAAGACGGATTAACGTCCAAATTTTTAGGGCGCAAAACGTAAGATCGTTATGGTAACAATGGCTGTGTCCACCGAAGTCGAACTAGAGTTTAAAAACATTTAATTTATATACAGCACACGTATTTCGTCTCCCAATTCGGAGTCACGTTGAGAGAGACGAGATACGTGTACTGTTCATTTACACAATGTATTTCAACTGTTGTTCGACTCCGATGGAAACAGCCGATGACAATTTTGGACGCTCTCGTGCCCATTTTGTTTCTCCATATTTTGTTCTCTCGATAATTCGCCTCTTTCAGGCTCTTGAAAACACGCCTTTATATCACACGCTGCACGCAATGGCATTCGTTGTATCCATATTACACGCTTTCACGGATGATTGTCAACGATGAGCTGTACGTAACCTCGTGTACACGCGCCTTTAACGTTTTATTCGCTCGACTGGACATGAGAAGGCGCCTTTATTTTGGTGCGATTCATATCGAAAGTCGCATCGTACAGCTAATCGATCGCATTATTAATTAGGAATTTAAAGATTTTCACTGAAATTCCGACGTATTCTTATAGAAGACGTAAAAGCAAGTAGTGCACAATTGTAACTCGAAATGAAAGAATTATTTGTGGGTTTAAATAAAAATTTAAGAATTTCTTTATTACATAGATTTTCTTATTCACTCAAAAAGTGGACATTCATGCACGGAGGCATTGAGGCGCACAAATAACGCAACACCGATTCACACGACCATTCGTATTCGTTGTCGCGCAGCATAATACAGAGATTAATTTCTGTTTTCAATTACACAAGACATCTTACACAGCCCTCGTGTTTACATTCACAGATTTACCACAATGAGTATACGAGATTATGCTAGAGCGATTCTCATTCGCATTTCTATAGGCCCTGGGCGCACGGCAACACAACGAAGCTATAAATATAACAATGAACGGAAAGATCATTTAGAAAAATGAAACCACCCTTATTTTAATTGCAATCTCGAAAGTTTGAATTCAGTATGTCGAATGTAGAGAAAAAAAAAATTTCATTAAAGTCGTTTATTTAATTAAACGATTATACGACGCGAAATGTACATAGTTTTTTATTTGATTCAAAAGTTCTAGTTTCTTCTTGGGATCCTCCCATATATATATGTATATAATGCAATGTATAACTTTATCAAGATACCGGAAGTGTAACGAGTACAGCACGAAGGGCATCAATAAACGTCTTTATTACTCTTAACTGAGTAACGAACGCTGAGTGACTTTTAAATATCATTGGAATCCAGGTGCATCTTTAATTATTATCTTTTTTTTTTTTTCTAAATCACCAAATAGCAATTAATAATTGCGTGATGGTCATCGAAAGACTTTTATTTCATAATTTTCTTCCATTCAATTTATTTTTCTAGTAGTTCGCATGTCTCACGTAGTTGCAGCGAAGAAAGCTAGATGGCGACTGTGCGACGAAAGGAGGGTAACGTGCATAGGCGCGAATGCTTCTTTATTGTCCGTTGCTCTATCGGAGTTATTTTCCTTGATGCGTTTAAAACGCTCTGCCCCAATCTCTTTCTCTTATCTTTCCTCCCCCACTAATACTTCGGCACTCCTTTTTTCTTTCTTCCTTCGATTCTCACGCAGTCTTCCGTTATTCGTCGCTCTCCTCGTATTGTGATCTTTCGCGTCGCAATACAAAGAAATACGACGACAGCCGACTGCTTCGACGTGGCGACGAAGAAACGTAAAACCATACTTTTTACATTTACCTACTCTCTTCGTTTCTCGTGAGGAAATAGAAACGCGCCCGTTCGTCGCGTTCGCAAAGGCGTCTATCTTTTCCTATGATGGGAGCCCATATTGTTCGGCCCGCGGAAACGATTTCACGTAGGACGGTTGTAGTTGGCGCTGAGTCAATAGTGCGTAACTAGTACGTATATAACGTATATATATTTTCAGTATAGAAAATCGTTCATTTAAGAGGAACGATAAATGCATGTAGCTTATGACAACTAACAGGTATTTTCAGCAGGTTGCTAGCTTGTCAACAGAGTCCATATAGATTCCTATGAAAATGTAGTATATATGCCAAATGAGACGCGTTAAAAAATTCTACCATGATTCGTGTGTATGAAATGCGGGTGAACAAAAAAAAATCACTCATCAATTTAATACTTATTATTTCCTCTCCGAGTGTCCGATTCATAGAATCTATGGCGATTGATTTACCGATATGCCAGTTTGCACGTTTAACCATACGCTAAAGGGAGCTTACGGTTGAAGATAATTTCCTGAGTTTACAATGGTGCGATACGAAGGTTGTCAAAGACCTGAATAAAAACGGTGCGAAGAGTTTATAGTCGCGTCACAAATGGAAAACCGTTTGGACGACCGATAGCCTTGTGACTTATTCTGTGCATATATTTGCGATCACCTAGATTCACTTAGACAGTACTTGCATTATCATACGTAGAATACGTTTTCTCGTCGGTACTACGTGACTCGAACGTTACTAATAATACGCGACGGCGTTGGCACGTTATTCCTGTATTAATGGTAGCATCATAATCATGCCTATAAACACATTATATAAACAATTGACAACAACATTTTGACTCACGTTGTACGTACCTTGATAACCGTACGTACCATTATTTTATATCCTAGTATGTTTATCTGCACCTTTTCTTTTTATACGCTCGCTCGTCTCACTGTGCCAATCCGTATGCGGAATTTAGGGAAATCTCCGGCATATATTTTCTGCGCATGCGCATACCTCTCGGGATACTCGTTGGGTTTATTATTCGCCTCGATATGAAGGCGGCGATGCATTTTAACGACTTATCGAAATCCGACTTGACAGTATCGAGCATTTATGAATTTGAATTTCATCCTTCTTTTCCAAACTTAATTATTTACCTTTTTAGGCACGACTGCATTAAATAACCGCGAGTGTCCTGTATATTCGCCATTGACAAAAACAAAAGGAATGTGCGCGCATGTGCACTCAACATTTTTGGAGGAAATTCTAAATAAACGGGTAAACTGATGTGACCGAGATTTATAGGTTATATCGAGTTCCGGATTGCGGGACAGTAATGTTCGTAGGTGCGCTTTCACGTCCGATTTCAATAAAGCGGATGCGCATACCCAGAATGCCGTAAACCCTTCGCACAGAAAATAACGTAACGGCGTAAGACGTAAGCGTAAGGAAATCTGAATCTAGTAATCCCCCTTCAAAGGCGACAGTACTAGGCTTTACTGTTTTGAATTTATACGCGCGAATTCTTGTTTTTGAAATTCAAAACGAACGGCTTAACCAATTGAGCTCAAATTCCTAGATGATAAATTATCAACTTTCGGATATAAACGGAACAGCAACTTTTTTCAGCTGTCTGAAACTCCCAGTTTCAATAATACGCATAAAAGTAATTATGAGAATTGAAATAAAACAGTTTTTGCTCAATAACTAATTTCAATATTGATTCATGTACTGCAATAGCGTGCATAAAATTTCTGACTAATGTCAATGCACAAGACACGACCATACACTAATATCCAATCGTGCCTCAAAGCAAACTTGCCCCAAAATTTTGTCCAAGCTTTACCTTTGGCCAAATCCACAATACACGTATTACAAGTGTTACACAGTACAAGTCATGCCGCAAAGTTAAATTAGCCAATCGATAATCGAATAATATCTCGAATATTGTACGCACGTAATTTACACGTGCCACGATACGCGTCATCAAAAACTTGACGCTGAAATATTTTTTTCTCCCTATCACGAGCGAGCCACTAAAGACTAGACAATCAATAATCGATCGTGCCCGTATTCAATGATATCACGAACGTCACCTTTAAGTTCAACAATTACGTGCTAAATTCGGAAGTCGACAATATCCTGCCTTTGCGCATCGCTTGCCCCGAGTTTCGAGGCTGCACGTGTCCTCGAAGCTCGAGCTTTCGGAGGAGAATAAGCCCGTACAGAGTGGACAGCTTTCCTCGCACGTCGCATCACTTGTATATACATATACTTCCTTATAGACACTGTATGCCTTTATACGAAAGACTAAACACGACTGTTGAGCTTATTCCGTGCTGAAGTAATTCACCTATGCAGTTGGGCATAGCGCCGACGCGTCGTATCGTTGGATGCGTGCTGACCTCTGGCGGCCAGTTGGCCAACGTGCGACAGCCGTGTCGTTTCAGTTGCGACGCCGCCGAACCTTCCATTCGAGGATCCGAATGGTCAAGGCGGAACCGTCGTGTTTACAGGCACGGAAGAATCCCGGTTGAGCGAATTCAACAGCTCCTCGTTCTCTTTGCGAACTGAAACATATACGCATAACACATGTAAATAGCAAGACTGCCTTGGGATATCAGTACGAAGTTTGGAGGTTAGTGCAAGCGGAAAGTTCAGTGAGTTACGTTATTGTTAGATTAGGTCGAGGACGACAGAGAATTTTATTAAGTTAAACATTGAATAATAGCGCGGAATAAATTGTGGTGCACGTGCGAGGTCAGGTACAATAGGTATACGAGTAAAAAGTTTTCGAAGGGGCTATCTGCTTATGACTTTAAATGCGAAATAGTCCCCTAAATAGGATCTTTTACTCGTGAAACGACTATAGGTTATGAGACCAATAGGAGGGAAACAGATACACCGAGCGATCTCATTTATTTGTCTACGTTTATACACAACTCCACGTGGCGGAGATTACTAGTCGCTAAATGACTCGTTAAATCAGCTGTCATTCGCCAGTGATTGTGGAACACGGTTAGTTTTCTGATACGTTAACGTCAAAATGTCACGACTTCGGTGTAACCAATATTTACGTTGAGCACGATGCTCGGTCAGTTCCTTAGAGCCTGTGGCTGGACTGTGGAAGGAGCTGTGGGTCAGGGTGATCACCACCACGAGAACCGATGCCACCAGAAGGAAGAGAAATGTCGCCAGTATTATAATAGCGATTCTTCGATGCCGTCTAGCCTGTTCAATCTCCGCTGGACTCTTCCCCAGCTGCGGAAGCTCCTTCAATACTATGGCCTTCGTGGGACGTACCGAGTCCTTTCGACGTGCCGTGCTCGCTCTTCGTGGCTTTCCCTTCCTGCACACGCTGGCCCTTCTACCGTCGCCTGGAGATTTGTTTTTCTTTCTTTACTTTCATTTTCAGCCTTCGACTTAACATTGATAATGACCGAACGAATTTTCTTTAATTATTCATCGAAATTTTTTATCGTAGTAATCACGTGCGTATCGCACGACTAAAATTAAAATGGCATACGAGGCGTTTTTCTGATTCCTCTGTCAAAAGGACACATTGTACGTCATCTCCGTGAATAAGAAAATATAACGTATGAAACCATAAGGTCGTGTGCACTACACGCACGAGGCGCACGTGTATGTCGGTAAAATTGAAAATGAAATATTACTGATACTAAAGAACCGGATGACCTCAGAAATATGTCTTTTGATGTTCATAAAGTTTTTATCCAATTTTTTCTCTACAGGGAAAAAGTGTCCCAGGCCACATACATTTTCCCATGTTATTTGCTATGCTGTCTCAGCCACTTTTCCCCTGCGCCATTTTCTTGTTAAATCCAGTTTCGTCACGCGATATCGTTAAATCGAATAATCGTAGCTCCGAGTACAGGGTAGCAAACTTCGCATAGAGTAAGTAATTTCCTACCTAGTGGAGTCGGTCTGCTGTAGCTGTTTACCCTGGATCTACTTGTACGCTGAGAGGACACGCTACATCTTCTACTGGCTGGATCGACTTCCAGGCTATGCCGATTACGTCTAGGTCGTCCAGATTGCGAGCATACGGAATTAGAACGCTGAGGACCTACGCCAGGACTCGGTGGATACAATCCGTGATAAATATGAGGCTGCAGAAATTCCGGCGAAGACTCACGCTGATGTTCGGTAGACGTGTCGTCTACGTAGAATATTATACGTTCCTCGTGCTGACCCAATAACTGACGATTGCGATCAAGATCCATGATGCACTTAGTCTCAGGAATTTTTGGACACTCAAAAATTTAAACTTATTTTCACCATTGTGCGAGCTTCAAATAATTGTTCATCCTTCGGACATCTTTTACACTATAAATTATTTTAGTTTTATCTTTATCTCTTTTTTTTATTTAACTGTAGGATGCATCATAGGCGCATGCTGTAATGTCTGTAAGACACTTTACTGATTAACGACTTATCATTGATGTCGACTATACAGGCTCTTTAGAACCTTATGTCTCGTGGCTGTGCCAAATTGGTGTATTCATGAATGATAAAGCGGTAATACTGCTATTAATAACGATGAGAATTGCCCGTACAGCGAAACGTAAACACATTTGCACAACTACCCCCCCCCCCCC